TGAGTCTTCCTCCAATCCTGATGCCCTATTCTTCATATAGTCCAGCTTCTCGGATTGTTTGCTCAGCATACAGGTTGAATAAGTATGGTGAAAGGGTACAACCCTGATGCATACCTTTCCTGACTTTCAACCACACAGCATCCCCTTGTTCTGTTTGACCAACTGCCTCTTGGTCTGTGTACAGGTTCCTCATGAGCACAATTAAGTATTCTGGAGTTCCCATTCTTCACAATGTTGTCCGTAATTTGTTACGATCCACAAAGTAGAATGCCTTTGCATAGTCAATAAAACACAAGTAAACATCTTTCTGATATTCTGCTTTCAGCCAAGATCTATCTGACATCAGCAGTGATATCCCTCATTCCACATCCTCTTCTGAATCCAGCTTGAATTTCTGGCAGTTCCCTGTGGATGTACTGCCACGACCGCTTTTGAATGATCTTAGCAAAATTTTACTTGTATGTGATACCAATGATACTGTTCAATAATTTCTGCATTCTGTTGGATCACCTTTCTTTGGAATGGCACAATACTGATCTCTTCCAGTTGTTTGGCCAGGTAGCTATCTTCCGTATTTCTTGGCATAGACAAGTGAGCACCTCCAGCACTGCATCAGTTTGTTGAAACATCTCAATTGGTATTCTGTCAATTCCTGGAGACTTGTTTTTTGCCAGTGCCTTCAGTGCAGTTTGGACCTCTTCCTTCAATACCATCTGTCTTAGTCATCTAGTGCTGCTATAACAGAAATACCACAAGTGGATGGCTTTAACAAAGAGAAGTGTATTTCCTCACAGTAAAACAGGCTGAAAGTCCAAATTCTGGGCATTAGCTCCAGGGGAAGGCTTTCTCTCTCTGTCTGCCTTCTCGTCAATCTTCTCCCACACTAGGAGCTTCTCCACACAGGGACCCTGGATCCAAAGGACGTACTCTGCTCCTGGCACTGCTTTCTTGGTGGTATGAGGTTCCCCAGCTCTCTGCTTGCTTCCCTTTCAGTTTATCTCTTGTAAGATAAAAGGTGGTGCAGGCCACACCCTTTACATTAGATAGGGGATGTGACCTTAGTAAGGGTGTTACAATCCTACCCTCATCCTCTACATAAAATTACAGTCACAAAATGGAGGACAGCCACACAATACTGGGAATCATGGCCCAGCCAAATTGATACACACATTTTTTGGGGGACATAATTCAATCCATGACACCATCCCTTTTGGTTTTCTATCTCCAGGTCTTTGCGCATTTCATTATAACATTTCACTTTGTCTTCTCAAACCGCACTTTGAAATCTTCTGTTCAGCTCTTTGACTTCATCATTTCTTCCTTTCTCTTTAGCTACTCTATGTTCAAGAGCAACTTTCAGAGTCTCTTCTGACATCCATTTTTGTCTTTCTTTCTTTCCTGTCTTTTTAATGACCTCTTGCTTTCTTCATGTGTGATGTCTTTGATGTCATTCCACAACTCGTCTGGTCTTTGGTCATTAGTGTTCAGTGCATCAAATCTGTTCTTAAGATGGTCTCTAAATTCAGGTGGGATATACTCAAGGTCATACTTTGGCTCTTGTGGACTTATTCTAATTTTCTTCAGCTTCATCTTGAACTTGCATCTGAAAAATTGATAGTCTATTCCACCGTCAGCCCCTGGCCTTGTTCTGACTGATGACATTGAGCTTTTCCATCGTCCCTTTCCATGTATGTAGTTGATTTCATGCCTGTGTTTTCCATCTGGTGAGGTCCATATGTATAGTTGCTGTTTATGTTGTTGAAAAAAGGTACTTGCAATGAAGAAGTCACTAGTCTTGCAAAAGTCTGTCATGAGATCTCTGGCGTCGTTTCTGTCACCAAGGCAGTATTTTCCAACTACCGATCCTTCTTCTTTGTTTCCAACTTCCGCATTCCAACCACCAGTAATTATCAGTGCATCCTAGTAGGCATATGGGTCTTATCCTATCACTGACAGCGCTGTATTTCAGGATATTTCTTGAAATTTTCTTTTTGACAATGAACGCGATGCCATTTCTTTTCAATCTGTCATTCCCAGCATAGTAGACCATATGATTGTCTTATAGAAATGGCCAAAACCAGTCCATTTCAGCTCACTAATGCCTAGGATATCGAAGGTTATATGTTCCATTTCATTTTTGATGATTTCCAATTTTCCTAGATTCATACTTTGTACCCTCCGGGTTCCAATTATTAATGGATGTCTGCAGCTGTTTCTTCTCATTTTGAGTTGTGCCGCATCAGCAAATGAAGGTTCCGAAACCTTGACTCCATCCATGTCATTCAGTTCGACTCTTCTTTGAGGAGACATTAATAAACCCTTTAATTGAGGAATTTAAATTAGTTATGGCTTGCTTACCTCTCAGGAGTTGTATTTTATTTCTTCAGCTTTAGATTTACTCTCTAGATGCCTGAAAATTGTTACCTTCGTTTCGCGTTGAGAGCCCCTGCTAAGAGAGCAGTAGATTTTCTTGCTGAAGTTTAAATTAACCACTCTGGGCATAGGATTTATGTTTTCTATCCTTCCTGACACATTCACCAAATATGAGTGCCTTGTTTGTGCTTGACTACTAACTGAAGGGTTGTCGGTTCAAATCCGTCCAGCAGCAGTGCCAAAGAAAGCCCCGGCAATCTGCATCTGTAAGATCATTGTTGTTAGTTGGTGTGAAGTCTATTCTGACTCATGTTGTCCCCGTGCGTTACAGCATAGAACTGCTCCATGGGGTTTTCTTAGCTGTAATCTGAATGAAGGCAGACCACCAGGGCTATCTTCTGCATTACCACCGGGTGGGTTTGAACTGCAAACTTTAGGGTAGAAGTTGAGCATAAACTGTTTGTGCCACCTACAGAGCTTGCCATAAGAGTACCAAACCTGTTGGCATTGAGTTGATTCCAACTCACAGTGACCCCACAGGACAGAGTAGAACTGCCCCATAGAGTTTCCAAGGAGCACCTGGAGGATTGGAACTGCTCACCTTTTGGTTAGCAGCCATTGCACTTAACCACTGCTCCACCAGGATTTCCCATAAGATTACAGCCGTTGAAGTGTAGCCTACGGAGTGCAGTTCTACTCCGACGTACACGATCACCATGAGTCAGAATCGACTCGGTGGCCCTGGGACTGATTGGTTAGTTGGTTCTCAGGACAATATTAGTGTTTGGGGTAAGGCATATGACAACATATTATCCCACTGAAAAGAGAAAAAAACAAGAATGAGCAGTTCAAAAATCATTAAGTATAACAATATCTGTTACTTTTCTAAAGTATAGAAAGGTAGCTAAATGGAAAAGAGTTTAAAATCAGATTTAGTGTATTTCTGCAGTATGTCTCACATACATGCAGTTTGTGCCAAGCGCATAGGGTGGGTGGTATAGTTAACTGGAAGGACAGACCCAGATCTGTTTTCTGCCCCTCTCTCTGTTCCCTTGTGATCTGGACTGCTCAGTTTATTAAGGAATACTGGTCCCCTGTGTATTTCCTTCCAGAGACGAGCAGGGCCATTTCTAGTCAGGCTTCACACATATTTATCAGTTATTTCAGCTATCTTTGGCTCTGGCCAGAGATAAACGTATTTTTAAATGTTCACAATAACCCAGTCTAAATTAGTAAGCAAAATAGTAGTTAAAAAAAAAAACTGCATATACTGTTCGTGACTTGTATTGTATCAAGTGAAAACAGTAAGGTTCAGAAAAGCACTTTGTGGATTGTAACGATTATATTTATTTGCTTCTTATCCCTTTCTTCATTCAGGAAAGGATTATAACAGTCTTTGTGACAAGCAGCCGATAGGAAGACTTCTCTTCAGGCAATTCTGTGAAACAAAATCTGATCTAAAGAGATGCATTGAGTTCTTGGATGCAGTGGTAAGTGATTTATCTCTGTGTTGAACTGCCCAATCTTGTGCTTTAAAAAAGTTAAACACCAAGAAGAGATCTCCGTCAGTTAATACATTAGACCTTAACAATGAAGCAAGATCGGATAAAGTAGTTGACTTGGTGTTATATTATCTTCTTGGTACAGAAGTGTCTTTAGTACAGAGTGGTAGTTCATACAGAGTCACATCCCAGGTATTGGAGAATCACATGCACTTAGAAGCATGCTTGCCTTAATTTGTAAGAGGATTGAAAAGCTATTTAAGACAATGTGCTTGTTCAGGCTCCTGAAAAGTATCCTTCCTGCCCTCAACTGGCAGATACTATATACTTAAAACACTTTAACCCAGAAGCATATGGAAGGAATAAAGTTAGTGGAAGAAGTATGAATGGAATTTACTGTGCTTCTAAAATTTCCAGCATTCTCATGTATCCTGTTTGAGATTTAATGTGATTTCCTTGTAGGTAAAGCAATTTTGTTTTTCTAACCCTTTGTGGATAACCTGGCAAGCTTAGATGTTTTACCGCTGTGAAATTCACAGACAGCTAAACAGTAAAACATTGGTGGGATTTGACAGAAGGGCTCTTTGACTTTTCGTTATTTGTACTAGGTTATGGAGCTTCTCTGCTTTGGCCCTGGCTAGTTATAGCAAGAAATATGTATTATATGCAAAGTACGGTCATACCATTGAGCCGTATATTTTTTCTCTGGCATAACTTTATAAAGTCTTTTAAAAATCATCACCTAATCTTTCAGAAAAACATGTTGAGGCTCTTGCCTGTGTTATTGTTTGCTTCCTGCCCCCAGGAATCCTCATCTCCTTTCTGGTGCTATTACTAGAATAGAGCAAGGCTTCGAAAAAACCAACCAAACCCACTGCCGTCGAGTCAGTTCTGACTCATAGCAAACCTATAGGACAGAGTGGAAATGCCCCATACGGTTTCCAGTGCTGTAATCTGTCTTGGAAGAAGCACAGCCAGAATTCTCCTGAGATGCAAGGATGGCGAGACTACGTCTCGCGTAGTTTGGACATGTTGTCAGGAGGGATCAGTCCCCGGAGAAGGGCATCATGATTGGTAAAGTAGAGGGTCAGTGAAAAAGAGGAAGACCCTC